CTGTACTTGGTCTTAAGAGTTGCAATGGGGTTAAAACTTGCGACAATGGCCATATGCCCAGCTTCTAGAAACATCTGAGGGCATTAGGAAAGCTTCCTTCTAGGAGATGATATCAGGTAAGATTGGAAGATACTCTGAAACCTGGCCCCAAAAGATTCCAAGTATAAATATACATTTTATAAACATTTTCCACATTAGGTCTTCATTATACCTGGTAAGATGGGCACCGTTAGATTATGTTGGAAAGTAAACCTCAGAGAAGTTAAGAATCTCACCTAAGGCTACACTGCCAATAAGCAGTGGAATGAGAACTTGAATCCAGGTCTGATGGCTCCAAAGCCTGTTCTACTATAGAACATTACCTTCCTGGGAACCCACAGGGTCCTGCCCAGCAAAGTAAAAATCCTGAGCTCTCATTTTTTCCTCTTGTAGATAATGGCAGTCCCCATCTCTCAAAGTGCTGGGAGTATTTGATAAAATGAACCATGTAAAGTGGTTAGGTCAGTGCCTGAAACACATTAAGTTAAGGGCTCCTTATAATGTTGGCTACTATTTCTTTCACAGACACATGAATGAACTTTTTGCCAAAGTTGTACAGTTTACATATACCTATTTTTTCTGAAACTTTTATAGGACACATTTCTTATTAAAACAGGCTTATTGTGGAAGAAAAGAAAGCCAGCTGGCACTAGAGATTGACTTGGTTTTAAATTTGACTCACTAATCACTATCTACAGGTCTTCAGGTAGGTCACTTTACTTTTCTGAGCCATTCTTTTCCCACTTGCACAGTGGAAAATGTGCACATGCTTTTGTAAAAGCACACTGGGAACAATGGACACATAGCTGTTGCTCAATAATAGCTACCTCCATTACTCAGTAAATCAAAGCTCCAACTCAGGAGGTAAGGCAGGAGAATTGTGAGTTTGAGAATAGCCTAGGCTACCTGGCCAGATCCTGGGACAAAAACAAAAAACAAACAAAAAAAGCTAATACTCTAAGAACCCATTATTGTATTGAGTGTCTCCAACCTTTTTCCAAACTACAAAGAAACTTTTAGGGGCTCAGATCATTATTTTGTTGTAGCTCTCTCTAAAAATAACATTCCCCTGCCCTTTTGAATCATCTGCTGCTCTCAAATACAATCACAAGGAGAATATACACATATGTACACCATAACTAGCCAACTCTGAGCATCTAAAAGATGTCATAAATTAAGTAATGAGATACCAAGCATGACAGCTGCCACTATCTAGAGAAAAGATCTACTTAGAAATTCTGTATGCCACATAGGGTACACTGAACAGTTTCCATATCGGATTCAGAATGTTGTCATTCCAAGGCGAATACTAGCTTGCATATTAAAGCTAAAACATATGTAATTAAATGTAATAAAAATTAAATGCTGGAGGCAGATATGGTGGTGCCCATCTGTAATGCCACCACTTGGGAGGCTGATGCAAGAGGACAGCAAGTATGAGGCTGGCTTGGGCTATATAGCAAGACTGTAAAAAAAAAAAAAGAAAGTCAAACCCAGATTTATTTTCATGGTTAACTGTTCTGTATTGAACACACACACATATACATATACATGCTTGGCTTAAACTAAAACAATAAAAACAAAAACCTGCAGTTAAAACCAATATTTCTTTGTTTCCTTATTTTTCTGTCTCCAAAACCACGATGGGTTTTGTTATACTCACTTGTTAAATGTCCCACATGTTAAGAATTAACAGCACTATTTCCATCTTTGTTTACCAGGCCAAACAAAATATGCTCTGTATTAAAGTTGAAATTTCCTTACTGGTCTTTGGAGGAAAAGCAATGTTCATATGTTTAACAAAATCCTCATCTTTAACTACTCAAACACTGGACAGCTGGGCCTGAAATTCTTAATTGTCAATTTAAATGTGTATGGTACAATTCATAATATAATTGACAAACCTGGAGAACTAACCCCGTCCCAGAAGGTAACAATATTAAGAGTGTGCCCCTGCTTTACATTTTAATATTTTGTTCTTGAATTTGCAGTGTTTTTCGTCTACTTAGAAGGACTGATTACATCCAAAGAAAAGACACATATGTCTATATTCTATGTAGATATAATCAGAAAATTCTTCCTATTTATCTTTTCATCCTGTTTTTTCTAATTGGTCTGACTCAAAGGTATTGTAAAGTCTAAGTGCCAAAGCTAAGTACTGAAATATTTTAAAAACTAAATGATGGCTAAAGTTGGTGACAGATTTGGGTTTCTTCAAGTCTGTACCTATGCTTGTGCATAATAAACTCATTCATTTTTCTCACACGTGAATGTTCCATCTGGATGCTGTGAGTGTAAGAAGTCAGAACCTCCCAAAGAAGGCCACTGGTATAGACTCACCCACTACTTCTGCCTGTTGCCAAACACTGGGAAGGATCTCCTTCATGCCTTTAAGATGCTTAGCTGTCTGCCTTTTGTAGTATAATGTTGGGTAAACTCAGTTATTTCCTTTACATTTTTCTTCTCTTTCCACTAGTATTATGGCTTATCTAAAACAGGGTCTTTGATGTCTAAAATGTCTAGGATTTTTTCCAGCTATTCGAGAGTCAGAGATACAGGATCGTGGCTTGAGGCCAGCCCTGGCAAAAAATGTTAGCAAGACTCTGTCTCAAGGAACAAGCTGGACGTGGTTGCACAAACAAGTAATCCGAGCTACGAAAGAGGAGGAGGTAGTATTGTGGTCCAGGCCAGTTAAACTAAAAAACCAAAAAGGGTTGGTGGGCATGGCTCAAGAGGTAGAGCCCTTGCTGAGCAGTGAAGGACCTTAGTCCAATTCCCAGCACTAAATAAAGATTTCAAGACACACATATATATTACTTTGTGTCATTTCTGGTCCCCTCTAAAAACTACTTTAAGTAACCCTTTTATATCCATGGAGATTGATTCCAGGACATCTCCAAACCCCACAGATACCAAAATCTGTGGGTACTCAAGTTTATGTAAAATGGCATAGTATTTACATGTAAGCTATGCACCTTCTTTCATATACTTTAAATCAGCTCTACAGCTTATCATAAAACCTAATACAAGGTAAATGTTATGTGAACAGTTGTTAAGCTATATTATTTAGGGAATAGTAATAAGGAAAAGTCTATCTATGCAGTATTTTTTTCAAATTTTTTGATCCACAGTAGGTTAAATCCATATATAAAAGATTTATATATGACATAAATCATATATAAAGGACTCAGTACCTTTATATGTGAAGAGCCAACAATATTCACCAATTTTATTGGTAAGTAGCAGAGGCAGGCAAAGTAGCCAAGGAAGCCTGATGAAGAAGTTAGTCTTGGAAAAGCCTTCCAAAGATAAGTATAGCAAAGTGATGGCAGGTTAGATGAAAATAGTAGACATCATTCTCCTTTTCTTGATTAGCAAAATCAACAGGCAACTGATCTGATTTATTGGGGGATAGGTGCTGGAGATTGAACACAGGGAATTGTAACTGCTAAGCACAGTGCTCTACCACTAAGCTATTCTCTCAGTCCCCCAATTTGATTTTTAGATTACAGACTACTTCTGCACTGAGAGATCAGGTTTAAATTTTAAAGTAACCCCAAAACACTAAACTGTTTATTTTATTCCACTCATCACTTTCAAACATGAAATATTTTAATGGTATTGCACTCTACTCAAAATTTTACCAAATAGAAACACACCTGTCCCAATGTGCATTCCAGGTTCCTTTAGATAACCACTGGCTGTCCTAACACACATCTAGTTTGGAGAGGGGCAGGTGTCTCATTAGTAAACTGGTCAGTAGGAATTAATTACTTGTCCAGCTTGGTGCTTTACCACCAACCTGCTCTGAATGCTCATATTTAAAGGACCCAAATATTCTTGGCAATGATCGTTTATATAAGGTCTGCCAGTCATCAGAAAATAGAGATCAGCTAAACTCTAAATGGGCTACCCTTAAAGAGTACCTACATATCAACTAATTGAACAATATTTCTTTTTATAAAAAGATGTCTGAATGTTAGGCAAGATATCAACTAAGAAATTTTGGTAGTGAAATGTTATGAAATAAATTTCATAACGTGAAATTTATTTCAGAAATGTTTGTTCAAATCTGAGAAAAGAAAACATGGTAGGGTAATGAAAAGTCAATTTTGATCAAACCTTTTAAGAATTTGTAAATAACTATCATAGTCACTTAAATATTTTTATTTTTGTAAGAAATACAAACCACTTTAATTTCTGACACAAGGCACACAAGCAGATAGTTATTTTCTTTCATTTTAAAATAATTCTTACTAGTTCGCAAGCACAAGTCTCAGATTAGTTTTCTTTCTTTCTTCAAGACACTGTTAGAGATGATATTTTCAATTCCTCAAAGAGTATTTTTAAGGAATGTTATAACCTTAATTAAACATAGATTATTCAACTTGGAAGTACTAAACAAAAACTCAATTCAGTTTTCTTTCTTGTATTTTAGCTATTTTCATTGCAAACTCTAGTACAATTTATTAATGTAGATCAGAGAAATAACTAAAATGTAATTTCAAACGAAGTAAAACAGATTAATAAATCACGGGTATTAGTCGATATTAAGTTCATAAAGTAAGGCATTTCTAACAGGTATAAAACAACAAAAACAAGTAAAAATTCAGATACTGCATCCTTTTCTTACAACCATAGCCAAGTCTGCTGTGTGGTTTTAAAGTTCCACACAAAACTTTTAACTTTCAACCCTAACATTTCAGATCTACAAAACACAAGCATTGCAATCACTCACGGTCATGCGAAAGGGCTTTCCAAAGACTCAGAAACTTTAAGTCAAACCAGAAAGGCAAAAAGTCAAAACGAGATAAAAAGGGAAAAACAGGAAAAGATGAAGGAGTTATACTGCTTGGCAAATATCAAACTTTTACGGAAATCCAAAACCAGCATCAAGTAGAATTTATGTGCAAAAGGTGCATTTTTGGGTGCAATCACTTATTAACATGCGTTCTACTTACTTTGCTTTTTGCCATTTATAAGCTTCATTAAAGACAATCACAAAGAAGTAGCCAGATGAATGAGGTAAGGATCGGATAAGAAAAAAGTCGTAAACTCGACCTACAAATTTACATTCCAAAGCGTCCTGCAGTGAAGGTACCCTTTACAAACAACCATTATATATAATGCACATATACATACAAGCTTCAGATTGTGAAACAGCGCGCTTTCTGCGACTTAACTTTACAATTACATTGGACTCTACCTCCCCCAGGTCCCAGAAAAAAAAAAAATCCACCTCCAATCCTCATTGGTTCACATAGTTCCGGCCCACATGGTATCAGAAGGTGTGTCCTTCCCAACAGCCCATCTCATTGGCTGCGAAGGAACAGTGTTTAACAAGCTGTGATTTGGGGGACTGTCAAACTCTACGCCTCCAGACTACAGCTCGCCAATACGCAGACCCAAGATCCTGGCGGTTTACTCTGCGATTCACAGGGCAAGCTGGTTGCCTGAGCTGCAAGCCCAGAAAAGATACGTTCTGAGGAGGGAGAAGTCAGCCTCGGCAGTGCCGCTCGCTCCGTCCCCACTCCCGGACTCCCCACCAATGCTCACCCGCGTGCATTCTCCCAGCGACCTATTAGAAGGGCAAGCAGTGCGCTCGCCTTCTATAGAGCCATGACCTACGGACCTGCTCGAGCTCTGTGTTCAATGGGTCCATTATGCGGCTAGGATCAAGCGAGCGTAGGATCTGGCAGTGCTCATTATATTGCTGGGATCCCCTGGGGAAAGCATCAGTCCAGAGCGCCCCCATCATGCAGTCCCTCTACCACAGACGCCGGGCGCACGGGTGCGCCGTGGCGCCTGCCCACGCCGTTCCAGGTCCCCGAGCGCTGCGCCTCCTTCGCGCGGGCGCTCCCCTCCCGGCGGGACTTACGCGGCCTGTTCTTCTTCCCCGAGTCCATCCTCCTACGCAGCCGGCATTTCTTGGCCGGAGAGTCATGCTGAGGAAGCAGCGACTGCGGTTGGAGCTCCGACAGGAGCGGGAGGTGTTGGGGCGCTGCTTCGCAGCTGCCCGCTGGGCCCCGGGTGCAGACGAGCGGTGGCTGGATTGGCGGCGAGTAGAAGCCGTTGTGCAGCAGCCCATTCACAGCGGCCGCGCCGGTGCCCGCGGGGGCCTTTGGGGAGTGTGCGGCCGAGCGCTCCGGCTGCGCGCCGCGGTCGCCCATGTCCGGAGGTGACGGAGCAGCGCGCAGGCACCGGCTCAGGAGGCCTCCCTGGAGGTCATTCTCGGGCGTCTTTCTTCCCTCAGATCCTCCCCGCGGCTTCAGCAGCCGCAGAGCCGGCGCTGGGGGATGGCGAGCCCGGCGCTCCTCCCCTCCTCGCTCCAACTCCCCCACCTCCTCGGTGCCCTGCCCCTCGCGCGCCCGTTCAGACTGGAGCATGTCTGCCCCCGGCGCGTAATCCCGGGTCTTCGCGCACCCTTTGCCCGGGCCTTCGTCGCCTGCCTTCCCCTGAACCCCTGGCGGTGCGACTTCAAATGCAGCTTCTTTGCCTCCCAGATCTATCCCCGCCACTGAGCATGCCCAGTCCTGCCCGCCACCGCCACCAACGAGTTTCAACATGGGGAATGAAGTTCGCTGGGTTTGCAAAGAGGAGATGGGCGGATTGGCTTTGTATGGCGGAGCGAGCTGAAAGGGTACTGAGTGAGGTAGGCACGAGAGAGCCACCTGTTTCAAGAAGAATGCAGGAGGAAGCCAAATATGTACAGAGGTTTCAGGTTTGGAAATCCTGTCCCCAGTGGGCAAAATACCTTTGCAAGGTCACTCATTTTGGTACTCCACGTGTGTGTGTGTGCGCGCGCGCGTGCGTGTGTCCCCGCCCTCGAGCGCGAGCGCGCCGTTGATGAAGTGACCAAACCACTCCAAGGCCTGAGGGGAGGGAAGGGAACGATTATTTATAGAAAGGTAGGCAAACCTAGGGAGGGAAGAGAGTGAAAATTCTTTGCTGGCACACACGAACACAAACACTACATGTGGTCTTGTGGAATTAGTTGTCTTTTGCAGAGAGAAAACGTGGGAAAACAGGGTTAAGGACAGTGAAGGGCAAAACTAGTCAGGATTAACCGGTGCTGGAAGAACCGAAGTAAACAGAAACAATCCAAAACTATAAAAAGCGCTTTCCTCACCCAGAAAGGACTTCATGAGACAATGCCATGTTATTTATACAGTAAGGAGTTTCTCTGGCTTTAAGAAGGGAAAGCAGCATCACTCAGTGATCACCGTGAATTTTGGAGTTAGCCCTGGGTTCCAATCCCAACTCAGCCACGGTGCAAACCAAAAGTCACTGCTCAATGTTGCCAATAATGGCGCCGTTTTGGGGCCCACATTTCTAACACTCAATGTACCTGGCAAAAGGAAATCAGACTGGGCATGCTCAGTAGTCAAGACCAATTTTGGATGGTGAGGGTTTTACACTACATAATCCCTTGAGGCCTCAACTTTTCTGTTAACGGGTGGTTGTTTTGCCTAAACGTACATGGTACAATCTTGGCACACAATAAATGCTCAAAGTCTTACATAAAACTTACAGGGTCAGGCTGGGTATGTACCTCAGTGGTAGCGCCTAGTGTGAGCAAGGGCCTAGGTTCCATCCCAACCCCCAGCAGTTGGGAGGAAAAATTAGAAGAGGCCATTGTTTTAGATTAATCTATACAAACAGGCAGAAAGTCAAAATGGAGTCATTTATACTGAAGTTCCACATCAACAAGCTGAAACTGAGCTATTTATCTGACCTTCTGAGAAATCAGGATTACAGAGATAATAGCCAAACTTCCTGAACATGCCAACTTCTATTGTCAAGATAGTGAAGTTGCCTCTGCTTGATCCTTATGCAAAAGAAGTAACCTGATGCCAAGAGACAGTTATTTTTCTATTTTTCTATCTCTCTGTGCCCCCTTAAAAGGGAAGTAACTTTTAAAACAATCAATTTACTTTTCATTTTTGTTTCTGCTTTTTTTAAGTCCTTCTCTGCCTGTAGAACCTAACTCCTTAGCTGGACCCATGGGAACACTTCTATTTTATGGAATAAAGTGTTGCCTGTTTCTAGAATTGAAAATAAAGCCAATTAAGACCATCAAACTAAATTGTTATGTTTTTCCCTTTGACAGCAAGCAGTTATTATTCTCATTATACTGTTATGTTTAGTAGTTCATCCTTCCTTTTTAAGTGTGGGGAATAAACCACACTTGCAGCAATATTTACCTTGTGGTTTATTGTGTGTGATGCTCTCCATTATTTGTACTGAATGTCCAGAGAGGTCAGAAGCTGGCAAAGACTGGCTGGCCACTAGTTTGCAGGCACCTGGCCTCAGTAAATTTAGAAGTGTCCAGAGTATATATCTTGGTTTGGCAATTTCTTCCAGTAGAGCCTTATCTAGAATCAGGGTTTTAGAACCATTGGGGCCGCTGAAGAGCTCTGTTTTTTCCACTTGTTTTTCCATGTAAGGAAACTGAACCACAGAGAAACAGCTAAGGTTATAAAGGATAAAGTTAGGAGGACTCAACCTCAAATCTCTACTGTGTGTGCTTTCCTGACCTTACCATACTATTTGAAGACATAGAGAAAATAACCTAGGTGAACTAGCCTTTGCTACCTTTCCTGTTTCATTACTGCTCTCCCTGTGCTAATTTCAGTTCCTCAGACAACTGGTTTCTTCCTATTATGTGCTCTCCCTCCTTCCTACATGCCTTCTTATCAGTTTGTAACTATAAAAGGCATCCATTCCCTCCCTTATAGTCATAATGATGAGTTGTTACAATGATGAAATGAATTTATGTAAGTGCCCAATACATCATAAGTACTATGAAACAGATACATTTTATTTGAGTGCTGGTCTTCTCTCTACCCCCACGCCAGGGACCCCCGCACTGCACTGTAAGCTCCATTAAGGCAGATGACTCTTTTGTTCATCGCTGTATTGCAGGATGCCCTGAATAATCACTTGTGACTAAATAAGTGAGTATTAAATAGTATGGCTATCTACTACTGTCTACTGTAAATTTGCTAAAAATTCCCATTGCCACTTTCAATATTCAAATATATACTTTTCAAATTCCCACATAATTGAGCTGAGTTGTTTAGGAAGCAACTTGCATCAGAGATGCAATAGAAGCCTTAGCATTGCAGTATCTCTAAGGACATATTCTCCCCTAGCTTAGATCCCAGGCATGGTAAGGGAGGCCTGAGCCAAGTGGCTCAGACCCAGCTAGGGCAGAAAGTCTTCCACCTGCTTTCTTTCTCCCACCTGGTGCTCTGGATCAGTTACACTCTGAGTATAGTAGGGAGGAAGCAGGCAGCATCCCACAGGTTTATTTAGGGTGTGTGTGTAGGTGGTAAACTTTGAAGCATGAGCTATTATGTGCTTCAGGAGGAGCATAGATAAACAATGTTTGGAAGAGAGTGAGAGAGGAGGGAACCCACAAACCACTTTTCTCTCTGTTCCTCATTCATTAATTTATCAATCATTTATTAAGTACATACTATGTTGCAGGCACAATACAGATACCTGGAATACAAAGACAAAATAGATGCTTTCATTGTCCTCAAGAGGCTTTCAATCTAATAGAGAAACAGAAATGTCATTGGTTTCCCAGTATCAGTGTCACATAAGAATAACCTAGACAGTTTTTACTTTTTAACTTTTTTTTTTTTAAGGGATCGGGTCTCACTATTCATCCAGGGCCCAAATGATCATCCTGTCTCAGCCTCCCTAGTAGCTCAGATTATAGGTATGTGCCATTGTGCCTGATTCTTTTTTAAATTCTCTCCCTCCCTCCTTCCCTCCTTCCTTCCCCTTTTTTTTGTGGTGCTGGGATTTAACCCACAGCTTCACACATGCTTGTTAAGTGTTCTGTTTATATCCCCATCCCTATAACCTGGTTTTTAATAATTTTAAAACAGAGTAGTAATTTACTGTTATTTTCTGAAGAAACACAGATAAAGGCCACCATTGTACATAATCACTGTAGAAATTTTAGCCACTTGCGAAAATGATAATAAAGCCAAATATGCCCAAGCTTAACCAGATGAAAACAAAAACCAGGATTTGACACCCAGGACCACAAAAAAGCAAAACAAAAATTAAAAAATGTCTAAGCTTTTATCCACTTAACTACATCAACTATAATATGAGCTTTTTTCAAGACATAGTTTTGTTAAACCCAAACTC